AAGATACTGATGTGGATTTTTAACAATTCACAGAAACTGTCTACATTAACTATCTCAGTTTATTATCAAAGTTTGTTATGAAATGCATTAAAACAAACATTCTATTCAAGACTACGTTAATGAACAGCAATAAATTAACCCTATGTTATAAAGAGATTATGTAACAGCTTGGACTACTTTATTTTACACTACACAGTTCTATTAATTCGTGATAAGTCTCAATTTTAAGAAGAGAAGACAACCCTAGTTCCTGTGTTAAGCAGATTTCATAACGTAAATAAAATGAAGGACAACTGTTCTGCTTCTGATGTACAGTACAGTTATTTTAACTACTCCTTACAGACAAAATAAATTCAGAACAAGCAACCTAATTGATGAAATAAATGTGCCAACTTTGACATATTCACAAATATAAAAATGCAATTGTATTAACGGAATATTACTTTTAAAATTTGTTATCTAAGTAACACACTCAAGCATTTATACCAAAATGGGTCTAAAGATCACAAACTAAGCTACAAGAAAAATAGTGCTGCAAAGCATCAACATGAGAATGCAGAAGTTTTAATTAAATCTGAGACTAACATATTATTTTCTACCCCAACTATTTAACCAAGTGTCTTAATTTACACATATTACCAACACAGGCAGTCCAAAATAGTTCATCAGAATTACCTACAGGATATTGCAGTGGCACCACTATACCTTCAAACGACAAATCTGAGAGACTAGGATGACCAACAAGGAGTTCAGGTAAGAAGCTTATGAAATTGAGAATCATCTTGCACTACATCTGATTACACAGGTGATAATACAATGCAAAGCTACTTAGTACAATAAATCCAATAACCAGACAGAACCACTGAGACAGCCACCCCTTCACAAGTACCACTGAAGAGAAAGAATACAAGTGAGGATGAAAACATGAACAACCATTCTTACTTAAAATGTTTATCCTTATACTCAAGCTCCCATGGCCACTCTGCATCTTTGGGAAACTTTATTCTTCACTGCTATCATGCAGTTCTTGATTAAACAAACAAACAAACAACCCCCCCCAAAAATGCTACACAGGTTCAAATGCCACATAGGGAAAAATTTCTGAAGGGGTATTAACATTTGCAAGGTCAAAAAATCTTGTGATCTACGAAAACAGTTCACTTACTATTTCAATCTTCCCGTTATTTGCTTTGTATAACTAGGGGAATAAAGTTGCAACACCGATTAAAAAGACTTTGGCTATTGACTTTCCTTTCTCTGGTTCTGAAGCGACTATTTTGTTCTTTTAATTGCAGTTTGCTTTAAACTTGATACTATTTATAGCATCTTTTCACAAAATTTACTTTCCATAAGAACTGACCAGGCATGAAGAGGGTTTACCCAAGCCAAAGGTTCCATCTGTCATTTACTGAAAACAGTCTTAAGACTATTACAAAAAGACAACTAGACAACTTTGATCAAACATGTATTCTTAGAAAATGAAGGGAAGTAAATAAAGAGATGTGAAACACTAACTCAGATACTTGCCTGAGTAGCTTTCTATCTTCATTATATTATCCAAGTGAAGACAGAAGCCCATTTTCCCCTAAAACTTCAGTCATAGAATGGCTTGGGTTGGAAGTGACCTTAAAGATCATCTAGTTCCAACCCCACTGCCATCAGCAGGGACACCTTCCACTAGACCAGGTTACTCAAAGCCTCATCCAGCCTGGCCTTGAACACTTCCAGGGAGGGGGCATCCACAACTTCCTTGGGCAACCTGTTCCAGTATCTCACCACCCTCACAGTGAAGAACTTCTTCCTAATATCTAATCTAAACCTCCCCTCTTTCAGCTTAAACAAACCTCCCCTTGTTTTATCATTAACTGCCCTTGTAAAAAGTCCCTCCCCAGCTTTCTTGTAGGCCCCTTCAGGTATTGGAAGGCCACTATAAGATCTCCCCGGAGCCGTCTCTTCTTCAGGCTGAACAGCCCCAACTCTCTCAGCCTGTCCTCATAGGAGAGGTGCTCCAGCCCTCGGATCATCCTCATGGCCTCCTTTGGACTGGTTCTAACTGGTCCATGTCCTTCTTGTGTTGGGGGCTCCAGAAATGGACACAGCACTCCAGGTGGGGCCTTATGAGAGCAGAGTAGAGGGGCAGAATCACCTCCCTTGACCTGCTGGCCACACTTCTCTTGATGCAGCCCAGGATACGGTTATTGGCCTTCTGGGCTGCAAGTGCACATTGCCGGCTCAATACAAATTACAAATATTTTGTATAAAATATCAGTCAAATACAAAAATTAAATATTCTTAAAACTGTAAATCCCTAGTTACTGTAAATGCATCTGAAAGTTTTCTGTCTCCCTTCAGTTTTAGGACATCGAATCAAATCTCGTTTTCCTCCTACGAGAAAATGGTTGACTCAAGTGAATCAGACAAACGCAAATCATAATAGACGACCTTTTCACCAACAGCTACCACACTAGATTCATTTACTGCAAATCAAAATAATTTCTGAAGTTATTTTTTAAAGATGGCTAAAAAGCCGTGAGAACAGGACCTAATGTAGTACTCAGTGAGAAGGGTAGAGTCAAAATAACTTTCCTCAAGGACAGTGAAAACAACTGGTTCAGCAAAGTGACAGAATGTATTATCAGAAAACATTCAGTAACAATGATTGTGAGAAAGAACAACGTAAGTAATGTGAAAAGGAAGAACATAACTAATTTTATTTTTCAGGGTAATGTTTGAAAACATACCATCACTCAGCACTGATTCAAGAACTTAACTCAAACACTGTGGTATGCAAGATGATTTTTTTTTTAAAATGAAAAAATTACACAGAAAATTCTACTATATTGCCCTATTTAAATACAAATTTCCATTATCCTAAACGTCAATAAATATCTACCCAACTCATGTTTTCTTGTGAAAAGCCTATCATAAAATAAACAGCTGGTAGGACCAGAGAGTAGAAATAGAAATTTAGGGCTGATGAAATCTGAAGATGACTTCAGTCCTTCATAATAAGAAAACAGACATCTCTTTATAGGAAGAACTCTAAAGAATTAATTACATTCAGCAATTACTGCCTTGTTCTAGACTGATTGCTCTTGCAATCATTGTTTCAATTGCCTTCTTTTTGAATGGGTCCAGTTTTCATCTGTGTATTTCAAAGAGCGTTTTAGGACAACTCTCAGAAGACAGAGAAGCCATGTCCTCCCAGTTTCACTATTTACTCCTTTGTTAAGAAATAACAAAGGAGTAAAATCCAATTTCTTTGGATAAGAAATGTCACCTGTTAAGACATCAGTCATTTAAAACCTGTATTTTGTCTGACTGCTGGCAAGATTTTAGCTTTTCAAGAAACCTCTAACATTCACTAGCAGAGGCCTCTTTACGTACCTGACGTAAACCAAATCGATGAAACAGTTATTCAATGAATCAAAAGAAAAGGTGACTCCAATGTCCCACACAGGAAAAAGAAAAATATTTTGCTTAAATTTTTCATAAGTTTAGCCAGGAAAAAAAGTTAACTTTGTTAATAATGGCACTATGATTCTTCCATAAGCATCATATTGTAAGATTAAAAATATTGTTTAGCTTCTGCTACTGGGTACTTCGTGTAAACTTACAAAATAGCCTTTGCCCACATGTGCACTCTGAGGTCACACAGACCCTTAGAGGAACAGGCTACTTCCTAAGCCTTTTTTCCTCCTCACACTAGGGGGATGTTCTGTCTCCTAAAGGAAATAGCAGCAAGTTTTAAGTAAACTATTGTGCAAGGACTATATTGTAGAAATACTGATGTACAGTCTGCATAATCTCCTTTACTGGCATTTAAGGCCAATTAGACATACATTATTTGGAATTGGTCTTCATATCTTCCATTCTGCTTTAGAACAAGGAATCAAAGGAGCTCTCCTCTTCTTCAGACTACAAAAAAAGATGACCACTTCTCTGTCCTACTACTTCACATACCCAAAATAACAAATTTTCCAAGACTTGATTTCTGCTCAAACTGTGACTTTGCTAAATCCTTCATTTTATACCAACTAATATAGTATTTCATGCAGTTATTCTACATTCAACTTGTAAAATATGTGCAGATTCCACTCTAACCTCACATTCAGACTCTCACAGGACATAATCCATTTCCTACTGAAGACACAACATGAACCTACTGATTTTGAAAGCGCACATAGAGTTACCTAAAGTCGTAATTTCTACTAGAAACTTATCACTGGAAATAATTATTTCTAATCTCCAGTGAACTGTATATAATTTTCAGAAGAAAGCTCATAAAGCAAGGACATTCATTCTTCCACACTGACAAAGGCTAAAGCTGTAAAACCAGATGCCCTAGACATAAAAACGATAAAAGTTACTTGAGTCTGTCATAGCCTATTATCCCTTTTCCATGAATAAAAATACTGAAAAGAGCAAAACACAAATCTTTCCTTCCACAAGAGGCTAGAGAACCAAGGGGAAAAGTGGTCTGTGTTAGGCTTATTAAACAGCACTTAACGTATTTCAGTTAGCTTTAAATACGCAGAGCAGGTTATAAGTCAATTTTCTGTTCCTACATTCAGTCCCTGAACAAGACAGCGATTTCCACTGGATATGAAGCATTAACAAGAAGCCCATGAAACTGATGAGACACTGAGTAGGTCCATATCTGTTACAAAACAACATAACTTACATTATCAACTGACATTAGGTAAAGCACATCCACATGCAGCATGTTGACTAATTCTTTTCCCAAAAAGGTCAATTTTTATGACAACAAACACTAACACATGTTGTTACCTTTTTGTACACTGTAGTAATAAACTAGAAGTTCAGGATTTTTATTCCAATTGTGCTACAAACACAAATAGCATTTAAAAACAGAGTACAAATACAAAAAACCCGGAAGTCATTACTCAAAAATAAGAGTAGCAGAATCAGACATAAAAGAAATTTCCATCAGCACTGTCATGTCTTCAAGAAATAAATAAGGTGGTTTATATACATACTTTTCTGCCTGGAGTTTTGTGGTTTTTACTATCAAGTCCTGGGTTTGTTCCTTTGCCGCCTAGAATACAATTGGAATCGTTAAGCATGTGAAAAACACTGACATATCAAATGTATTACACAACCTTTAAAACATGTAAAACTTTTAAAGCTTGTCTGACTATAAGCAGTTTAAAGAGTGTACTCCTTGAAACAAAAGGCCTTAATGAAATAAGCACTAATTGACTCTCCTTATTTTCACGAATAACTAAATTACTATCCTTATCCCTAGGTATTTTCAACTTTATATGCATTTATATTCTCACAGTTAATTTTAATTTATATTAAACACAAAAACATTATTGTAAATATTAGAAATAGTTCTGATTATTTTGTTTGCCCATTGACTGTAAATTGTTTGCTGTTACAAAATGAAAAATGAACCAAGTTCCTTTTGATGCTAAAGTGCCCAGTACCAGTGTCCATCCAGCCATTTTAAATAATATGAATACAGCTGTGCTGGTCTTAGCTCTACAGTCCAAGCAGCTTACAGGGCTCTAAGGACTAAGTGCAATGCACTCGAGAAGCCCATCAGAGTCCTAAATGTTCAGTGATGACAATGCAAGGGAATCCATGCAGAAACAATTCTGCTACAGACAGGAGCTGCATGACTAAAAGGAATTGCTGCAACTGAAGTTAAACAGTTCTGAAATTTATCACTCAACAAAAAGATAAAAGATGTCCAGAATTGTTGGTTTCCCATTGGACACCACTAGTGAACATTTAGGCAGAAAAATAAGAAAATTTAACAACAACAAAATCCAGAAATCAAAATGCATTCAGTATGGAATAACATTGCAAATGAAGAGGTGGAGACAGCTATAAGGATATTCTGCATGAATAATTTCAAGACTGTAACAGGTCTAAATTATAGCGCTTGCCAAAACGAAGATGCCAGTCTTGAAACCTACAAGATCTCTAATGCAAGTACACATGCACAGTGATTCACTTCAGCCTTTCTATCTGCCACACCACCTTAGCTACAATGGAAAAGCAGTCGAGGTACAGGAACACTCTGAAGGTGACAGGACTGCAACCACGCAAGTACAACTTCCGTCACCAGAGGCAGCCTGAGCTGTTTCCTCAATACAGACAGCGGGCACCACTGAGATGACAGTTGCTGGATTTTCTAAAGGCAACTATTATGGACTAGCATTGCCAATTTAATAAAACTTGACAGAATTTATTGAACATTTAGTAATTCCAAAATAATGTAAGCTTTTTCTATTTTATATAAACAACAATATTTAGATTTTCAAATGTATTTGTATTTTAAACTTTTTAAAACAACACTGATTTTCAATGCTTCAGCCTAACAAAAAAAGACTATTACAACAAAGGACTGGACCTGAACTATTCAGTATGGAAATCTACTAATTCCTGACTTTTTTTTTTTTCCTTTCTTTCAGAGTTGCAGATTTTAATAAACTAAAGAAAAAAAAAAAATTGCTTCCTTTCTAGTATTTTCTGGGCAAAAGTACTAATTGCCAAGAAGAATGCTAATAGCAGGACAGTAGAAAGGAAGAAAAAGCAGTTTTTCTGTATCTAGCTAAATACATCAGGAAGCCAGTTTTTATTTACATGCATACAAATACATGCCAGATACTATTATTATTGTATGTATGTAATGTAAGAGTTTACACCTAAACAAAACAAGGTTACTGGGAGAAAAAAGTTAGACATGCCAGAAAAATCAGAAAGTTGATATTTGATGTTTCTTGCAGATCAAAAATAGCAATATTTTCATCTTCCTCCCAACCTCAGTATACTAATTAAAACTTCCATTATCTTTCAGTCTTGCTTTATTCCATTCCAGCACTTGCCTCCTCCTCTCTCTTTCAGCCATTGCATTTATCAAGTCACTGTCCTGAAATCAGATCTGACAGTATCTGTTTATTTGGATTGGATTGTATTATAAACTTACAAAATAAAAAAGATAAAAAGCTTTTTGGCTTATCAATATACAGCCCCTTTCATATCTTGCATTTGCTCTGCTCTGTTAATACAACTTTCTGCCATATATGCTCTAGATACTCCTCTTTATATCTTCGCTTTGCTCTACTCTTAGTTGTTTTTTGTCGTCTTACTCAGCTTGAACACATGCTTCAAGTCTTCATGTCCTATTACAGATAAAATACTAGAGTATTTGACAACTGAGTGCTAGTTCATGGGCTTATTAATTTACTTTATGTGCATACACATAAAGAAAACATAGGTTGAATTGAAACAAGTTACAAGTTCTACAGGGCTCTAGACAAAACCTCCTGTGGGGCACAGAACAAAACTACCTACTGACTTTAACAGAAAAAGAATCACTGCAGGGAGGCTCTATTCTGGAGGAAAAAAAAAAAAAAAAAAAAAAATCACAGGTGTAGTTACACTTCATGATCTAAAGACTGAAAAGAGTGAAAATCTGCATGGACACTTGACTCATTTCCACATCTAAGAGTTTAATCAAACAGTTCCTGAACTGCACTAGGCAATACCTCCACATTAACAGTGTTCAAAGAGATCAGAGATCTCCAAGGTGCACTACCCATTACCTTTCAAAATCAAAAATTAAGTACCACAGTGGGCTACACCATACTCTCACAATTTCTGGAACAAGTTCATCAAACTACAAGCATTCTTATGGGAATTACATATGACGGCTATGAAACCTATTAATGTAAGTAGGGAGGGAAAAAGTACATTAGGAGGGGAAAAAGCAACTGTTTTCACAGGATTTTTTTAGTAAAGGATTCTCACTCGTATACTGTAACTTACGCACTATCTTCAGAACAGATTTGGTTTTGCAAACATCTACACTTCAGCATCTATAAACATTTTAAACTCATCACTACTGAATACTGAACTTGTACAATAAAACCAAGACAGATTTAGTAATGCATTATAAAACACAACTTTTTTTTTCCCCTAATTTGTCTCCCTCTTTGGATTACAAGATACGTTCTTATGAATATACTTCAAGTATTTGTATGACCACATAATTCAACAGATGTAGTCAACATAATTTTAACATAGCATTAACATAACATAAATTTTAAACGGAAATACACAAATGTAATTAAGCCTTTAATCTCACACACATCCAATCTAATATTTTCTCTCAACTCACATACAAATGGGTATCACATTGCTATCCTCAAAATAAGCATATTGCTGCATTCTGAATTAAAATTTGGAAGAAGTGAATTCCCCTATAATAATAATAATTCCTCAGTATTAATAATGAATATTAATTCCTCAATGATAATAATAATTCCCTAAAGTGTATTCCTCAATACTTTTCTAAGAAAGTAAAGAGAAAGATATTAATATCCTAAAGTAATAAAACATGCATACTATGGAAACAGCTCAGTGTCACTGTTAATCCTCCAAAATAATGATGTACCCTTTTGAAATAAAGCAGTTGCACTTCAAAAATATACAAAGCACATCTATTTATATATTACCTTCAAACGACTGGACATATCTTCACAGCAGCTGCTCATTGCTTGCACATCTTCATTTATACTCTCAAGCTCCTAAATAAGTTCAAAGAACAGTAACCGTGTTTTAAACCTTAAATGCCATGCCTACACCCAGCTTCATACCACCAAAATGAGATGCCCAAGTTACAAGGAGCATGGTTGCTCTAGGCACCCTGTTAATGAGTGGAGAGAATGCACCGCTAAAGCTCAATGTTCACTTGGGATTTCTATCTGTTTGAAACATCGTATCTCTCTGCGCACTACTTCCATTAAATTAAACAAATGACGAAACAGTTTTCCTGTAAAAGTATATTTGTACTGGAAAGTCAAAATCTCTCTTAACCCTTTTTTCTTTTTTTAAATGTGAAATTACACAGCAGTAGCCTTGCGAGATATCTAGTCAAACTGTAAAAACGCTACCTCTTTAACTTGCTTGAATATGTGGACAAATTCTTCATTTATGGCTAAGCTTCGTCGCTCAATGTCTCCGCGCAAGTTTCTTCGGGTGCGCAAACTGTTTTCGACAAAAAAGGTCGAGAGGGCCTTGAGTGCTTCCAGCATTTCCTAGAAAATATAAAAGACATTAACTTTCCACACAGCAAAAAAGAAGCAGGTTACATAGTCTGTAACCAACTCACGTTCTACAAACCCCAACTTACTAAATGGTTGTAGAGGAAAAAACTACCTAAACACACTCCAGACTAGGTGTTAAATAATTACTGAGTCTTTCATCTTTTCATATAACATACAACTTTGCCTTAGAATAGCTTTAACCAGTAACATTACACTCGGTGAAAGCACGACTTATCCATTTAAATCAGAAAAAGCCCGAGAAGTGCACTCGGGGCCAGGCAATACAACCCTCCCTACGACCCGACGGGAACAAGCTGGTGCGCGGCATGTCTCTGGAGATGCAGAAACCGATTTTATTGCTAATTAACGCAAGCCGGGAACGTCAGCTTGCGACGCCGCAGCGGAACTGAGGGAATGACCGGGCTCGCTTCTCGCTCCCGGAACCTATCGGGGCCCGCAGCCCCTGACGGCTCATCCGGCCCAGTCCCGCAGGGCGC